ACATGATAGTTATTTGTACGAAGGAACATGGAATTGGATGCCTTCAACAAAATGCGAGGTTCATTGGCGTTGATTTATACAATCGCGAGCAGTAGCGCAATTACGGGAAAACGTTTGAAAAGGTTTGACTTCGAGAACTCCCCCCTGCCTCGTCTCACTCGTCAAGGCTTGATTGACGGGTCGACATGATCCCGGCGTTGGTATCTCGGCGCAGGTCGATGTTTTGTATATCGATCGGTTTCGTCCTGAAGATGAGCTTATGCCCTGCAAAGAGCACAACAAAAAGGATGAGACTGATATAAGCGGCGAAGAAGCCACTTGTGCTCCACTCAATGAAGACCGTGAATCCGCTTGTCAAGACGATCAATATGCAGAAGAATAGACCGTATATCGTCAACCACGGCTGCAAGGGCGCCTTCATTACAAGACAATCTCGGAGGATGCCATGAAAGCGCAATGCGTTCATGAACCGAAGATGGCATACTGAAATGGTAGCCCATCCAATGAAACCCGCGATACTAGCAATATTCAATAGCCAGGTGAAAACGTTGCTGCCGCTTTCAGACAAGTTGAGAAATCCGAGCAAGCCGATCGCGGCAGACATGCCCACGGCGTAATGAGGAGTGCCGAATCGATTCGTGCGGGCGAAGAAGTGCGGTGCGTGTCCCTCGTTGGCAAGCCCCACAAGAATGCGGCTGCTTGAATAGACGTTGGAATTCGCAGCCGACAATACTGCAGTCAACAGAACGGCGTTGATGATATGTGGGAGCACGGGAACACCAGCAAGCTTTGCAGCAATGACCAGGGGAGAGGCGGAGGCATCGCTAGAATCGGTGAGGAGCTCGTCGTTGTTGTAAGGTACAGTTATGCCGAGGAAGAAGATGACTGCCACGAAGAGAGAAACAATCATCCAAAAGGTCCACTTGATGGCCGATGGCAAATTCTTTGAGGGATTACCAATCTCACCAGCGCCAACTCCAACGAGCTCAGCACCCTGATACGAAAATCCTGCAGTCACTAACACGGACCAGAAGCCGATTAGCTTCCCCTTGCCGCCCTCAAGGATGGATTCTGCAAAGGGTCCAGGATTGTGCCAGTATTGGAAGCCCAAGTATCCATTTTGTCCGGCTCCTGCGTTGATCGCGATGGCGAAGATGACAAACCCAACAATCGTGATGACTTTGATTGAGACGAAGTAGGATTCGAATTCTCCGAACCACTTGATGGGCAGGAAGTTGATGGCAGTGAAGACGACCCAGAATATGGCAATGAAAATCCCGGTATTCAGCGTCTCGTCCCAATACTGAATGACGAGGCCCGAGCCTACTAGTTCCAAGGCGTATGTAGACGACCAACTGAACCAGTATATCCATCCGGCAGCGAACGACAGAGAAGGGTCGACGAATCTGGCGGCGTAAGATGTAAAGGATCCATTGACAGGCATATATGTTGCCATTTCACCCAAACTCAGCATGATTGAGTAGACAATGGTTCCCACGAAGATGAACGCGATTAAACAGCCAACAGGTCCCGCGGACGCAAGCGCCTTACCAGCGCCGAGAAACTGCGTTTGTCAGAGACCGGAACAGGAAGCAAAGGCATGCTGACTTACCAGTCCAGTACCAATCGTGCCGCCTATTGCGATGAATTGAAGATGCCAACTGCTAAGGCCTCGCTTTAGGCCTTCCCCGGCCTCGGGATCCTCCTGCGACGAGGCATGGACCGAGCCAGTGCCCTGTCTTGCCAGGTTTTTCTCATTGCCGACTAGGGGCGACAGCGCGATGTCACCTCCGCCAGCGACATGTTTAGCTCCCTTGCTCGATGAAGTGAGGGTAGATGGTGTTGTGGCCATCTCGTCGTCGACAATTGCCTGCAGCGAAAGGCTCAGAGACGGCCGGACGTAGAGGCAAGGGAATCCGGGCCGTTAAACTGTAAATACACGATGAGTCATAGAAACAAGAAAAGGCTGCGCCAATCGAAGGGGACATGAAGCAGGGCAACGTGCAAGTTATAAAACTCTGGCAAGTCTATAGTCCCAGTGACGGGGACAGCCCATTTTTCTTCTCACAAACCCCTCACGCCCCGAGCATGGAGGCGAGAGATTCACACATCGATCTCGTACCAGAGCCGATTTGAAGGGGCCATCGAGGCCCCATCGAACCTTCGCCAGCCAGATTCCCACATAGGCGTTTGGTGTTTAGGGCGCGAGAAAAAGAGGATAGACCGAGAAGTTGGACTATGGCCCGTTTCCAGCCAACCACACAAGAGGCCTGACACATAGATTGCCGGAAATAGTAGTGCGGCCGAAAATCATATGAGGCGGCTCGACGCTTGCACATGCACTACTCAGATTTGACTCGCAATAGAGCCGCATCAGGTGGCGATGGCGTGTCAATAAAAGTCGCAAGTCGCTTTTGAGTTTGAGCCGGAATGTGAGCAGAAGCATATATGTACCGTGGTCATGGTAGATGCAGCCGGGGCTGCCCGCTGTAAGATGCCGTACATGAACCCCCATTCAGTGGGCAGAGGCTCCACAGTGAAATGTTCCTCTATCTTCGCCCACGATTGTGACACGATTCCATTACAATACATACGGCCAGCTCCACGATTTCAATAAACCCATCCGTCTACTGCTGGAGACCAAAATACATTGTTCGGATCCCACTTCTTCTTACGCTCTTTCAGAAGATCGATACGTTCCGGCGTGAATATCTCCCTCATATCAGCCTCAACGCGCGCATTCCCAGCAAGCATGGCATTCGGTGCTCCGTTCGAAATATCCAAGCTCCGTATGATCCCTATCGCCTCTTGAGCATAACTGCGACTTGCTTCCAAGACATCGCCGTCCATGTTAGAAAGCACCACCTGTATCATGAACTCGCGGTCTCGATGGCACATGAAGCTCTCCCGGCCCTCGTCTGCCTTCATCAGTGCCTTGGAATGCATGGGATGAAAGACAGTCGTAGCGCCAGCGACTTTCTGCCCTTGCTCGTCGACAAGCTTCGCGAACCTGTTGGCTACTTCCACGACTTGCGCCCCGGATACCTCGTACATCAAAGCGTTTTCCACGTCCATGTTTGACACTTTTCTCATCATGGCGTCGCGTTGCGCGTTCATTTTGGCTATCTCCGAAGAGCCATCTCTGAGGAACATCGCTTCGTGCTGGTGATCATTCCACTTCTGAAAGATCCTGTCCGCCTCATCTTGTGGTCCTGCGTAACTAGCCTGTGCAATGAGGACTGGCTGAGCGGGCGTTGAGTTGGGCGCAACTGCAAGCACAAATCCGAGGGAAACAGGACCTTCTGCCACTTGGATAGCCTCGTCGAAAAGCTTCCCCGCTGCCTCGAAATTGTCCCGCGAGAACATCGCCATTTTCTCCGGGATCAATTTATCCTCGGCAAGGTGAAGTTCGGTAATGGGGTAGATGCGTGAAGTCATTGAGAGAACTACGCAGAACCCGGCTCCCGCCCCCTTGAGCTGATCGAACAATTCCTTTTCAGTCCCTTTTGATGTTTTTGATACCTCTATAATCTCACCATCTCCGGTGAGGAGCCTTGCGCTGATTAAATTGTCGCAATTGTGTCCCTTCAGTGACTGGAACTGCCCTATTCCACCCCCTAGCACATTCCCGACTGCTCCAACTGCAGAGATGTTGGCCCAGCCAGTATAGAAGCCCTTTGCTGTTACTGCTGACTGAAGATCTCCTGTCAATGTACCGCCGCCGAAGGTCACTGTCGCGTTTTCCGTGTCGACCTGCACAGATCGGAACTTCTCCACTGTTGGCGATAGTCAGTACTCTCGAGGATTCAAAGCCCTTGGTGTTACTACCGAAGCATCCGAGACACTTCGTTTCCGAAGTTTACGTACTGTCAAGAATCAATGTCGTGTTACTGGTAATCACGAGCCCGCCGCAGCCTCCGCATTGTGGCAACACGCTCAGCCCGTTCTCAACAGCGAATTTGATTACAGCAACCACGTCTTCTTCGGTGGACGGGAGAACGACTGCTTTTGGCAATGTTGATTTTCCCAATGTCATCCACCTTTTGCTTAGAAACGAGTATACAGTATCTTCTTTGTCTGGGACAGAAATCCCACAGCTCGGCGGTAGGGCCCTTTCGAGAGAAGACTGTGTGATTGTCGTCATTGTTTGATCTCTTCTTCTGGTTGTTGTTCACACGGCGATGTTGTAATTTGACGATGTAATACAATAGTCCAAGAGGAGAAGAAACAAGCAATTGGTTCTCCTTCCCCAATCCTGTCACGGAGTATATATATATAGGTCGTTAATTCCGTCTGGAATTAACGGCGTCGTTTTTTTCCCGACAGATCCTTCATGGATAGCTGGACAGTTAAGGATTCCCTTGCTTGTCCCTCACATCGCTGGCGATCGGTACGTCAGCTGCGGTCTGTTAGTGGTTATGAACCATGCTTCAGCAAAAGTCCCCGACGAAGTGATACGTTATGATTGCAAGCAACCTGATCACCGCAGGAGTGTTTATTGGTCCAATCAGTTTGACCGTGAACACGGCTCTTTGGTATGAACGAATGGCTGATCCCATACTAGAAATTGGTCGCATTTCTTTGCATGGCCAGGACGAGGAAATGGCTACTTCTGGTCGTATTGATACCATTCTCAGGCCATTCACTGCACAACTTAATTGTCTGACTTCCGGCATGTCGATCAAAGCAGTGTACTTTTGTCTTGTGTCTATCGACGGAATCCCAGCCGTAGCTTCAGCAGGTCGAATCAATTCACGACTCGACCTACGCGTCACCGCTTTTCAGATGGATCCCAATTTGGGGGACCAGACGGGCATCAGGGTACTTAGAGTTTAGACCGCCAGGGGCTAACGCCGATACAGTAGTTGGAGACGGCGCGGCCCAAACCCCCACCACAGAACACAACTAGGAATATTTCGCATCACCAACGAACTTATCAACCCAAAAAAAAAGTGTTCGATTGAATGAGCTACAATAGACACAAAAAGCTGTGAGTCAATGGGTCTGGCCGGGGATTGAACCCGGGACCTCTCGCATTTTGACTTAAGGTGAACCCTAAGCGAGAATCATACCACTAGACCACCAGACCTGGTTTCCTGTTGTTGTCAAGATCGTTGCTCAGCACACATCATATCACCAACGGCTTCTTTCCAAAACATAATGAGACTTCGTGAGGCCTCAACAATTAAGACAAACATCTCTCGGAAGATATTCTAGTCTACCAAACACAGGAAATATACCTTCAACGCAGCGCCATGACTCACTCACTGGTTTTCTCTTCCGATTTCTTCCTGCCCTCCAGCCCTTCCATCGCCATCGCCGCCAGACTCCTCACTTTCGCCGTCTCACCCAAAAGCTGGATCGTCGTTACTTCCATGCCAAAAGTAACTACCAACCAGTTCCTGAGCTCCGCTGCGGCCAGACTATCGATCCCATAGTTCGACATAGCTTTGGACACATCTATCTCATCCTTACTGACGCCTATAAGCTCCGCGATATGCGTCGTAATGGCCTCTTCCAAGATTGCGGTTTTAGCCTGTGGTGATGCGGCTGTTGCTAACTTCATAGTCACCGAATGGGCTTTGTCGTTAGTAATTGTTGTTGGGTTGGATTGAGACTGAGAGTGTTGTAAGTCGATTGCCGCCTCCAAGACAAATCCGAACCGGGCATCGTTATGCCACACCAAGTCGGTCAAAACGCGGTTGTCTTTTGGCGAAGCGAGACGTCCTGGCTCCAACCCAGTCACTATATGACCGAGATTACTCGCCAATGCCTGGCTTGCTTTTGTCTCTTGAGCCACGCACAAGGCTCCTTCGAAAAGTTCTAGAAACTCAGTCTCTGACTGACCATAGGTCGCAACACGTTGTAGGGATTGCTGGACATTCTTGGCTTGGCTCACAGAACCAACCTCCAAAATGAGACCGAGGTCAAGCGAGATGGCGGGAAGACCTTGAGAGAGGCGATACTGAGCGAATGCATTCTGGAAGGCGTTCGCTGCACAATAAGCAGACTGGGTTGAAGTGCCTATCATACCAACTAACGACGAAGTCACGACGAAAAAGTCGAGTGAGATATGGTGAGTGGCTCGATGAAGGTTGACGGTCCCTGAAATCTTGGGAGCTAGGACTGCTTGTACTTGAGAGTACGAAGTCCGGTCGAAAAGCGAATCCTACATTGGATTAGTTGTGTCCCTATCTGAATTGATGCGATCACAACTTACCCCTTCCACCATCGCTGCATGTATGAGCCCTTTAATCGATCGACTCGCCGAAATTGACGATATGGCGGCTTCGACAGCCTCATAGTCCGTTATGTCGCAACAGAGGACCTGTGGGCTGACGCCCATGCCAACGAGACTATTCAGCAGCGATTCGGCGTCTGGTGTTCTAGTCGCAGACCGAGATAAGTATACTATATGTCTAGCACCACGTTCAGCCATCCAGAGCGAGAGAGCCCGGCCGAGTCCGCCTAGTCCACCAACCAGTAAATACGCTCCATCCGGATCAAACTGGGCGTGAGGTGTGTGGTTGACCAACTGATGTGCAAGTTAGTATCTTCCAGTTTGAATTGAGTCAGAGACTCACAGTTGCTGGCACAGTAGTCTTATCAAACTCAAGCACAACCTTGCCCATATGCTGCCCCTTGGCGAAGAATGCCATTGCCGAAGACAATTGTGATATTTCAAAGCATGTCACAGGGTCAATAGGTTTGACGACACCAGTTGTCCAGAGTTCGGTCAACTCTGTCATCAATCTATACAGAGTCAGTAAGCTGTCTCCTCTTAAAGATGGAGGCTTTCTGGGTTGTCTTACTGTTGAATGAAATGCGGTCTTTCTTCACCAATGGCTGCTATATCAAACGAGGCGAAAGAAGCGTTTCTCTTGAACACTTCGAGGCTCAGATTGTCGGCACGAAGAACTGCGGACCTGCCCAAGTCAATGAACCTACCACATGAACCTATACACCTCCATATCTCATGCATCGCGTCTTGAGAAGTGCTCAAGATGATGTCAAAGCCTTTACCTCCAGTCACTCGCATGATGTCATCAGTTAGATTCGCCTGCCGCGAGCGAAATATCCTCTCAGGTGGTATGCCAAACCGATCAATGAGAAAACGTCTTTTCTCCTCGCTTCCAACGGTCGCGTAGACTACTGCACCGATGTGTTGTGAGATTTGAATAGCTGCAATACCAAGACTACCAGCTGCAGATTCGATGAAAACGGTTTCGCCGCTCTGTAGGTGAGCCAATCGTCGAAGGGCATACATAGCTGCCAAGTAAGAGACGGGCATTGTCGCTGCCGATACAAACGACTCTCCTTTCGGGATCTTCGCGATGACTTGCGCTGGACAGCGTAGGTACGTCCCCATGTTGCCAAGGATTAAGCCATAAACATGGTCACCTTTCTTGAAAGCTGTAACCGCTGCACCAACTCGCTCGACAATACCTGCGCCCTCGTGGCTCTGATAGTCCGAATCGAATTTTGCCGTAGCAACCGCTACATCCTGTAGAAGCAGTCAACACATGCATCGTTGTGAAAAGGGCCTGTGTTCTTACCTTCATATTTAGTCCGATCGCTTTTGTCTTGACCTCAATCCAGTCATCTCTCAGCGGTTTCGAATGAAGATGATCCTGTTCAAATGACAGGGAAGAAATCAGGCCAGGCTGAGCATAGACAGGCTTCAATGCCTGTTCACCGTCGATGATAGACCGTTGTGTGTCTTGCTCAAGTTTATGTCGGAGACGGAACTGTTGGTTCATTGCGACCTCGGGGACAAGCCTATCAATATAGAAAGCGTCCCCTCGAAGGACGTATTCCCGATCAACAGTTGCTCCAGGCTCCCAGGAAAGCATTTCGACCAGTTTCATTGCAATCAACTCCGCCGTTCTCGTGAGATTATGGTAATATGGGCCGTCGATTTCTACATGTACGACGTTGAGAAGAACGTTCTCGGTGGCCACAGAACGCAGAATTCCTTTCATCGCAGCCGAATCGCAGCAATGACTATTAGAGCTGCGCGATCCAACCCACTCAAGGTGGGCGGATCTGGCAATTAGAGCCCGAATCGCTTCAAATTGATCTGGGCCGTGGTGGATAAGGGAGGCATCTTCGATATCGATTAGTGAAACGACGCGCGATGAGTACTCGAGCTCAGTGACTGCGGACAAGCTTCTGTTGACACAATTAAAGCCGTGTGACGCCATGACCTTACGAATATACGCCGCAAGCGGAGGAGGATAGTCGCGGTACACCAAATATATATCCGGTTCTTGTGGACTACAACCGTTGAGTGAGTTTGTGAGCCGACTTGAGAGGCCACTCGAGAGGCGAGTAAGCATGGTAGTTGCCAAAGCTTCCTCTCCGAGACACTGCAAATGTGTCAGTGGGGATCTTCCATTGCCACGTTCATGTAGCTCACATCTTGGACATCAATCTGAGTTTCTTGGAACCCAGCGTCTACGAGAAGCTCGTTCCATGTCTCTGAGTCTCTGATTTGGCGATCTGGAACCCAGGACCCAGACAATAATCGGGACAATACCTCCAAACTGAGTCTGTTGGTTGTAATCTCCGTGAGAATCAATGATCCTTTCGGTCGAAGCAGCTGGCGAACATGGCTTAGCGCGACTGGGACATTCACACACTGGCCCAGGAAGCCATTGGCGACAATCAGATCGTACGACTCTTTCGCAAGTCCCTGTATCTCTGGGTCTTGTTCGATGTCGAATACTCTGAATGACATTCCTTCATGTCCAGTAAACTCCGTTTCTGCTTCAGCAACGAGCACACCTATTGGATCGGTGAAGGTGTATTCCTGGAACGTTTTGAAGGCAGGTTCGGATTGTAATGCCTCCAATATTACTGCCGTTGTCTTGCCAGTGCGGCCGCCAAGTTGAAGTATTCGCATTCCGGGACGTTTATGTGTCTCGAGTTTGATCAAATGCTTCAATTGAGCATGGGCACCCGCAGAAAGAACTCCGATATCAAATACTTCGTAAATGACACGATTTTCCATCAATAAATCCGGAATGCTTGTTCTGCCGCTCAAAAGCTGTTCTTTCTCTGCGTGCATTATCTCCAAGCACCGCACTTCAGGTACATGATTCAACGAGGAAAACAGCTGTCGCATGCGTGAATCTGGCCCGCTTAGATCGACATGCAAGATCTGGTCGGGTTTATACTGCGAAGCATTGACTCGAAACCATTCCACGATCTGATTGTCGCCAGTCCATTGCCTTTTGGTTTGTTGTTCGCTGATAGATTGCCCCATACCAATAATGACCAATTTACAAAGCTCGTCGATTTCGTCCATGAGATGTTTCGAATGACTAGCAGTCGGAAGTGAGGATTGTAAAAGATCGTTAGTGATCGTATCAATGTCCATAAGCGATACAATCTTCCAATATGGGTTGCGCTTGAGCTGCGGAGAGTCATGGGAGCGGCCATTTACATCCAACATGGTACATTTCATCCCTCTAATGTCCAAGAGTGGATGTCCTGTGGTCGTGAATAGCTGGGTTTGGGCATAAGCGCTTCGCTGTCCTACAAATTTCCCTGAAGCGACCGCACTCCCGTTGTTCCCTGATATATCGGAAGTCCATATGGAAATGTCGCTCAGGGATACAGGGACAAACGCCTTTTTTGCATTTTCCACTTGCCCTGAATGGAGTGAAATCAGAGCGAGCTGCAGACAGGCGTCTATGGCAGCTGGGTGTAGAGCATATTTTGATTCCCCAAGGAGACCGCTGGTAGAGTCCAATGCTACATCGGCTGCAGCGTTGCAGGCACCACGGTATGCCAAAAGTTTCGACAAACACTGGAATGTTGGGCCGAATCCGAGCCCTATCTCCTGAAACTTATCGTACCATCGATGAACTTGAAGTAGCCTTGAGCGAGGGTCAATCCCCAGACGACAGGCTTTGTCAATCGTAACATCTTCGGTTTCCACGCAGATCATGCCTGAGCAATGGTCGTTCCAAATTTGGTTCCCAGTAACTGGCATTGAGCCAATGGTAAATTTATACCACCCTGGAGCGGCCGTCGAGGAAGTTGACGAAACCTTCTCCATATTCAATATAGTCTCGACGCCAT